TGTATGTCAGAACAGGACAGCTTGAGCAAGGGGGAAATGTCACAGTAGAAGTTGGCCACTTCCTTGCTGCCACAGAAGGACAGACCAGCTGTGAGCAGAGTGTGAGGAAGGGCATTGGCGTTTCCAGTCACCCAGGATACAACCACCAGCAGGATGCAAGACCTTGGACTCATGATGGTTGTATAATGAAGAGGGCGGCTGATGGCCACAGCTCGATCATATGCCATGGCCGCCAGCATGTAGCTGTCTGTGTTGGCTAAAGCTATCATGAAATACATCTGTGTCAGGCATCCCCCAAAGGAGATGGCTTTGCTGCCCAGGAGATGATTGGCCAGCATCTTAGGGATGGTTACAGAGGAGAAGAAGATGTCAACAAAGGAGAGGTTGGCCAGGAGGAAATACATGGGGTTGTGGAGGTGACTGTCAGAGAGAATAGCGAGGATGATGAGTAAGTTTCCCACGACTGTGATGGGGTAAATGAACAGGAAGAGGATGAAGAAGAAATCCTCCTGTTCCTGCTGACCTGTGACTCCCAAGAGGATGAACTCCATGGTAGAAGACTGGTTTTCTTCTTTCATGGTTCCTTCAACATGAAAGACAAGAAGAGTCCAGAATTATTAGTGCCATTACTGTGCATTATGATCTTCTGTATGCAGCACTTCTCACTCCAGTGATCTGCTTTCTCAATGCCTGCCTTCATAAAATCCAGAGATATTCAAACTTTGAAGAAACATTTCTGTTGGTCTCTGGGACTAATTGACATTCACCCCAGACACTCATGTCTGAGAAGTGAGCAACGTGTGAATCAGAAGTGCTCATCCTCCCCTATCAGCACACCCTAAACTCTCAAGACTCAATCATTTCATAATTAAATCTCATATTCCATGGTCTAGAGTCTATATTAGACCTTATGGAAAAATCAAAATATGTGCCAAATACAGTTCATTCATTCATTCATTCATTTAGTGGATAAGGCATAGTCCCTGCTCTCAAGGACCTGATAATTTAATGGAGAAGCCAGAATCACACACTGATTTTATTATATATGATAAGGAACAGACGGCCTTTGGACTTTTGGACTAATTTCTCCAGGCCATGGATCAGTTAGTAGATAGATGGGCCTGGAAATGTGGAATTGTTCTATGACCAAACAAAGAGTGATCCCAGACCCCATAAGGTAATGGGTCTGTATGGGGCATTGGGAGATTGTAAATCACAAGGATCACTGGGTTTAGATTCCACCAAAATAAACCAGTGAATTTTCTCCCTTGGTGTCTCATTTTGGAAATAGACTTTTGCTGTTGTTACAGAGTGTGTGAGAATTACAGACCACCATGCTTATTGAGCAACATTGAAAGGGAAAAAAATACTTTAGTGAGCAAGACAGGCAAGCGACTGGGAGCAGGCTAGTGCCTCAAAGAACTCCCAGCACTTGAATTGTGGAAGCACAGCATTTATAAAAAAAAACCCACCAAAACCACAAGGATGTAGGTGAGAAAAGACTTTGTTGAGACAGATATTTTGATTACATGAGAGAATTGTTTTGATTATACATTTCAGAGTCATTTTTGTTATATATGAGGGCTATAGTCAGGGCCGTGGGAAGGTCCTACTCTACTGTCAACATACATACAGCTGTCAGGAGGCTGAAAAGAAAACATTTTAAGCAAACATAAAATGGAGTCAGGTCAGAACAAAATGGTATTATTTTGATTCTTTTGTATTTCACCACTTCCTTTAAGATGTTTTATATCTGACAAGCCCTCAAATATACAGAATCACTATGCTTTTCTCTTCAGACTTCTTTCTGTTCTTAGTTATTTTGCATTGTGACTCATGCAACTCCACAGTACCTACAAAAACTGTTTAATAAGCTCACAAGTCTAGTTTGGCAGGCCTGGTCTCCTCTTCCCATATTTTCATGTCCAATCATCTGGACAACATGTCTCGCCACCCCACTTGATATATATTTAGTCTAAGAAGAATGCAAGATTTTGGAAAGTGGAATATCATATATTGTTTATTTTTAACTTCTCCAGAATGATAATGGATAAGTGTTGTTCATTGCAAATACCAATAAGCTTTCCCTCCATATTGCTTGAGTGAATACTGGTTTATTGTATTCCCTACATGTAGGATACTCACAAGAAAAATCTCCCAATTTAGCTCTTATCAGTGCCTTGGTTATTTTGATTCTTGTTTTACTATAATGTCTATGTCATTCTGCCTTTATACTTCATGTCTCAGTGCTTTGGCTCACACCATCTTACTCTTCTAACTGAAATATCATTAGTTCTCCCTTCACTGCTCCATTGCAGGTTCCTCTTTGTCCCACCTTGCATTTTAAGACTACTAACTATGACAGTTGGCAAGCTGCTTGTCCAAATCCATACTATTCTCTTCTCTTTGAACATTCAACTAGACTACATTTCCCAGATTCCCTTCTGTTGAGATTTGGTCATATGAGTGGGTTCTAGCCAATCCACTTATGTGAACCAGTGCTGGGCTTCCTCTACTCTCTGTTGTGCCAAATGTATTCAGATGTGGAGGATGCTGGATGGGATGATGAAGTCCCGTGAAGGGTGATGAGCCTGAATCCCTAGTTCTCCATGTCCAGGAGAGATACGCACCACCAAGAACACCCACATGGACGGTTACTTAGGAAAGATATAATCTCTTATTTTCTTAAAGCCACTTTACATTGTACAATCAATTAGTTGCAGTAATCTGGGTTTTCATAAATAATTCACCAATTTTTCTGAAGGGGCTTCCACTTAAAAATTAATTAAATGTGTAAATAATTTAATCAGCACTTCTCAGTGTTTCTTATAGTAATATGTGAATTATATGCTAGGCATGAGCAATGAAGGTCTATTTATCTCTGTCATATCTAATCAGGATGTACATTATCATCTCTACATCTAAAGCACTTTGGGATTGTCTTTTAAGATATCTTTCCTTATCTTCATCTAGAATTCCTATGCTTCTGATTTCAAAGGGTTCTATAAACCTGGAGTCTCAGAGACTATATTTATCTTATATGATACAGCAATGTAAGATTTTAGAGGTTGGGCTCTAAGCAACATGGCACACAAAGCTGATATTAACAGGTTCCATTATTAATAAAATACATAGAAAGTTTAGAAAAATGTGAGCAAGAACCCCCCACCAAAAACATAGCCAAATGTAAAAGAAAGAGATGGGCATACCTGGTTGAGAGGCAAAAATAAAATTTAGAACAAGAAATGAAAGGCATAGTCAATGCTGTAGTGGCCCCTTGGGGTTTGTGATAAGGAATTAAGTGGGTCCTCAGGGCTGGGACTTGGGATGTTTGTACCATTTGGTTGAGTAGATGTGGCCACAGAGCCACATAAAACATGGAGATTAGTAGTCTGTATAAAATGCTTGAAGATTAGCCTATTTGTAAAAGGAACACTAGAAAGAATTTGCTGTCATGATTGTAAACAAAAGATATTATTCTAATTGGGGGGCAAGGGATAAATGGAGGAACTGTGATTGGGCAAAGGGGAGCAAAAATAGGGGAGGGGTCATGGGGGCAGGAAAGATGGTAGAATGAGATAGACATCGTTACCCTAGGTACATGTGTGACTGCACATATGGTGTGATGCTACATCATGTACAACTAGAGAAATGAAAAGTTGTGCTGCAGTTATGTACAATGAATCAAAATGCATTGTGCTGTCATATATACCTAATTAGAACAAATAAATTAATTTTAAAAAGATTATTCATAGAAAAATGTGATCATCTACAAATAAATCCATGGAATCTATGGATGAACAAAGAGATTTCAATAATTTTCTTAGTTATAAACCATTATGTAGAAAAATTGATGCTATATTTATGTAAATTAGAAAATATTATTTCAAAAAGATTCTACATTAAAAATAGTTGTAGAAAATTTTGAGGTCTCTAGAAATAATTCTAACGAACGAGGTCCAAAACAGTTTTTAATCTCAATAAATTTTCATAAACTTTAATGAAAGAAAAAAAAAAAGAAATTTGGGGCTATAGAGAATGTTCATGGAAAGTCTCACTGTATAAACCTCAGTTCTTTTCCAGGTAATCTCTGAATTCAATGAAATCCCAGTGCAAATACCATAGGGTTTCCTTTACACGTAAAATTTAACAAACTGTTCCAAACTAAAACAATTTGTGGAAGGACTACAAGGAAGAAGGAATCAACAAACCATGAGCCCACATGTAGGAAAGATGAAATTCATACACCTTCCACCCAATAATTATATTTCTAACTAGCCCTAGAGAAACTCAAGCACATGGCCTCAAGAAGACATGCATGAGATGCGTCTTATCATATAGGAAAATTAGAAATGGCCCATTCAGTGAGGGATGGATAAGGAAATCGTGCTATGTTCTTATTAATGAATTCCTTTCAACTGTTTTTAAAAAACAAATTCACATAGATAAATCAGACACAAATAATGTAGTGAGAAAAAGCAAGTTGCTGGAACATATATGGCACATCAGAAAATACATGTACATGTTAATCTAAAGTAATATACCTAGAATGTAGCAGGAATATAAGTCCTGAATGGAAGTATCTTACCAATGGTAGAAGAGTGGTCATCTCTGGAGTGGGAATCAGAAAGAAGATTTTGGATGGGAATAAGAACATTTCAAGTGTACCTGTAATATTTATTTTAAAAAATTGGAGGAAATATGAAATGTTCTCTTTATTCTATACAAGTTTTTGTTATGTTATTCTCTGTGCTACTCTGGTATTTTAGCAATATCATAACTAATACATTCAATTCTAAATAGAGATTTCAAATGTTTGGTGATAATTTGGTTTAGAGTGTAGCCATGATGCTGCTAGTGGATCAAGTCCGTTTTTTTTCCTGTACTAGAGATTGAACCAACAAGGGGCATTCCACCACGGAGCTACATTCCCAGGCTTTTTAATATTTTAAAATTTTGAGATAGTATCTCATTAAGTTGCCAACTCCAGACTGAAACTTGCAATCTCCTGCCTCAATCTTCAGAGTCACTGGGATTGCAGGTGTACAGTATCATGCCTGGCTTAAGCACATGTTTCACTAAATGTAGGAGATGGAGAGAGGTTTCCTTTTGAATGAGCTAAGAACAAAAAAGGGGGTACATTGGGAAGGAGATCCAGGATTCATACATCAAGCTATGTAAGGGAGAAAAAACAGCAGTATTTTCAGTATCTACATTACTACCAACTCTTTCATTAACTGGCAAACATATTTTAACCTCTTCCGTCATTCAATGAATCATCCTCAGTCCTATAACTCTTTCCAACTCCCACTCCTTTTCTTATCTCTGTTCTTCCTTTATGAATTGGTCTTGCCTATAGAGATGTCTATCTGTTGGAATAAAAATATAATACACAAATATGTTTCTGTCCATTTCTTTAAAATCACTCATGTCTACGCATCAATACATAGATGAAGTCCAAACTCCTTATGGAGATAACCTCAAGTACCAAAAAATTCAGACAGTGGAGGAAAACTCCAGGAAAAAAAAATTGTTGTATATCTTTCTCAGAGCTGAGGGAACAGAAAAGGACAGGGAT